CTGCGAGATCGTGACCTGGCTGAAGTCGGACGCTTAACCGACTGCGCCACCCAGGCGCCCCAGAGGATCTATGATTTTTAAAAGGAAATGTGAAATAGCCCTGTCTACTATTTTATTTAACGTGCCAATTTATGTATATCCTGCCCCAGGCTCATTTATTCACCTAGTATAGAATACCTAAGCACATCTTTAGGGAAAAAAATCCTGCTCTTGAACATTCTCTTTGATTTAATTGTGTGTTTACTGTGTGGTAATAATCAGAGACTAATAAACATGTTCCTGGGGAATCTTTTCCATTTCTTTTGTACTTTCTTTTATTACAAAATAATGGAGAAGTATAAAATGATAATAAATTTACCTTTGAACATTTATAGTCTGTGTCTTTTAGCCTGGGGCTACTTCAAGCAAAGGTTATTTCGCTCTGGGTTTTGGTTTCCACACGAAAATGTTTTACTTGAGATTCTGTCCTTTTCATACAGAGACCTCAATTTTATGACATTCCCTATTAAGGCTCTCGGTCAAATGGGAGAATTGTGGAAATCTGCTCTTTAAGGGCTCCTTCTCAAATTTAAGTCCTCATTTCGGGGTCTTTGCCTGCTCAAACAAGTTCTCAGGGGAGTTCTCAGGGTTCTACATTTTCAGAAAGAAATATGACCATCTAAGAAAAGATCCATAAAATGCATTAATCTTATTCTAATTTTGTATATTCACTTATCACATTTCATCAAACAATTTCATGAGAAAATACCAAGCATACTGTCAGACTGATAAATAAGCCATTGTTTGGCATTTGGGAGGTTGTAAGGTTAGGTTTACTTTACCTTCAAAGGTTCCTCTTTTTTTAACATTAAAAATAGGAACTGAACTATCACGTACATCTAGAAAAGTGGACCTGAGGGTAGACCATGATACATTTCCTCAAAGCAAATGTGCCCATGTATCAAGCACCAGGTCAAAATAGGCAATACTTTCAACACTTCACAAGATGCACTCATGCATTTAACTGCTTTCATTCCTTCCAAAATGTAACCACTCTCCTGATTCCTAAATCCATGGAACAATTTTGCCTGTTTTTGAAATTCAATTAAAAGAAGTCATAGTAGGGGTGCCTGGGTGACTCAGTCGGTTAAGCATCCAACTTCAGCTCGGGTCATGATCTCACAGTTCATGAGTTCAAGCCCCACATCCGGCTCCATGCTGACAACTCGGAGGCTGGAGCCTGCTTTGGATTCTGGGTCTCCCTCTCTCTCTCTGCCCCTCCCCCACTCACATTCAGTGTCTCTCAAAAATAAACATTAAAAAAAATAAACATTAAAAAAAAGGAAATCATCGTAGGTATACTTTTGTGTCTCACTTCTTTGGCTCAAAACTCTTTCAGGAGAGTGATCCATCCTATGTATTGTGTTTAACTATCACTTGTTCATTTTCACTGCTTTATAATATGCTATCATGTGACTATACCACAGTCATTTCCAGTTTTAGCTTTTAGAAATAAAGCTGCTATGAGGGGTGCCTGGATGGCTCACGTAGCTAAACATCTGACTCTTGATCTAGGCTCATTTCGTGATCTCGCAGCTTTGGACATGGCGCCCTGCACTGAGGTCTGCACTGACAGCACGGAGCCTACTTGGGATTCTCTCATTCTCTCTTTCTCTCCCTCTCCCTCTCTCTCTGCCCTGCCCCTGCTTGCACATGCACTCTCTCCTCTCTCTCTGTCTCTCAAAATAATTTTTTTTTAAAAGCTGCTATGAACATTCTCTTTCTACACACACACGCACACACATACACACACACACACACACACACGTGTGCAGAGATAAATGGTAGTTACATGTTATGCCTAAGCACAAAACTGTTGGCCTATAAGAATTATGCACTTTTGCATTTAGTATATAATGCCAAACTATTTTCAATGGTTGTCTGAATTACATTTCTACCAGTTAGGAGTTCAGGTTATTCCAAATCCTCACCCTCAGCATTATTAGCTCTTTTAATTTCAGCCATTTTTATGAGTTTGTATTGGTATCTCATTGCAGTTCTAAATTTCCCCAATTACTGCTGAGGTTGAACATTCTATATTATTCTTCAGCTTCTAAACATCCCCTTTTGTGAAGTTGCTGTTCAAATTTTCTGACCCTTTTTTCTCTTGGATTTTTTTCTCATTCTTTCAAATCTAATACTTAAAAATTAAATAAATAAACAATAGGGGAAATCATAGCAGGAATGGTATACTCATCAATCGTGTAAAGGTAACAATTCTTCCCAAATCGATGTATAGATTTAACTCACTGTTGATGACATTCCAAACAGGATTTATATAGAAATTAAAAAGATGATGGTAAAAGGAATGCAGAAATTCAAAGGGTCAATATAATCAAGAAAAAGTGGGGGAACCTAGCTCACCAGATACCAGTATGGATTATAAAACTGCAAAAATCCAAATGGCAGGATGTTTGTGCGTGTATAGACAGAGAAAAATGGAAGTGAATTCAAGTCCAAAAACAGAACAGCATCTGTACCAAGAAATTATTATGACACACCTAATACTCGAGAGCAATGAGTAAGTAACATTGTTTTTAAGAAATGGTGTAGTGACAGTTAGATTCCAAATGGAAAAAAAAAGAAAGAACCTGAATTTTCACCGACTCCTCATGCCAAATTCAATAATCAATTCCAGGTGATATAGAGATCCAAATTCAAGTGACAAAACAACAAAGCCTATACAGAAGACAACAAAGTGTAATATCATAATGGTTTGGGGAAGGCAAATATTTCTTAAACAGGATACAAAATTATAAAGTGACCATTTATAAAAATGAACTACATCAGAATGAAGAATTCTGCTTCATCAAAAGACACCAGTAAGTAAAAATGTAATCTAGAGGCAGAAAATACATTTGCAATGCAGAAAAGAAAGGGTTTGTATCCATAACATAGAAACAACTCGTAAGTTTGATGAAGTTCAAGTTAATTTTTCTCTTTTTGAATCAGGCCTCTGGTTTCACATCTAAGAAATATTTGGTTATCCCAAAGTGACAGAGATTTTCTTTTATGGTTTCTCTGTTTTATTGCCAGAATTTCTTCTGGTCTTATATTTAAAACTGTGAAATTAATAATTATAACATATATAGGAAACCAAAAAATTCATAATCAATAACAAATGTGAAAAAACAAAACTATCATTAAACAAGATCTATGGCTACATTAATCTACTATTTTAGAGGTGATCCGACAGCCAATTGTTTAATATGATATTATCTTGGTGGGAAGAGATCACCTACATGAAAGAGACTTAATAGAGTAATTCTTTGAATTTTCTGCTGTCTTCCTTGCTTTGTATATTTTGTAATGGAATATGGGGAACTGATATCTAAAACAGATTTTTCTTCATGTAAATTCTACTATCTTTAAAACAATATTCTCAATTTTTGTGGTATTGATCTTTCAAAAGGATCTATCAGACTGACGTTGAGGCAAACGTTTTATAGAGTGTCTTATTATGCCTGCACAAAATTTGAAAATATACAGTTAGTCACTTCAGAAAATGATAAAAATCTATAATGATTTTATAAGGCAATTTCGATAGATTAAGTATGACAATAACTGTAAATTCATAAAATCAACCAAATGCTACACAGCCTTCACTAACATTTCCCATGTGATGCCCTCTCTGTACCAGATGAACTGAATAACTTTTGGGGGAGTATACATCACAACTAATCTATCACTGACGATGGTTATTTTTAGAGTACGTGAGCAATTTATTTGAATTTATTCTTGAAATAGAGATGTAATGTAATTAGGAAGCTACTAAGGACCTGGTAAACATCCTGGTCGATGAGAAAGATTGCAGGAAGTTGCTAAGAAAGGAGGGGCTGCCTCTAATATCGTGGTAGAAGGGAGGAATCTCAAGGTTACTCTCCTCTCATCTACATACTTGTTTAGGTATAACTGTTGACCTTCTAATGCCACACATGCATGTTCATCCAGTTAAACTAAATCAAACCTAGCAAGAGAAAACAAATTTGCAGTTCTGTAAGTTGAAAGAGTGATTTTTCTGTGTAACTTTCATACGTGGGTGTGGTATCTAATAAATGTTGCCTTAACTCAAGCTAACTTGAATACACAGAAAATAATACTCAGCCTAGTAAAAGCCATTTGCTGCACAGAACACTACTCTAAGAAACTGAGGTTCACCAAAAGAGTGAATACGTCCTTCAGCTATAACTGCATCAAGTAAAATCTGAAAACAACACACAGTGCCCTATCGGGTCTGAGTCACACCCTTCCCTGCCCTCTGTGACTCGGTACATTTACTTGCTGAGTCACATTAGCCACCAGCAGACGCACATGAACCAGAACGCATACTCGTTATAACCACTACTGTGATTTGTAAGAGAACTTGAGAAGCTCTCCCTGCATTTGGGGCCAAAGCCCTCACTCAAACATTAACTATGCTGTCTCATGGTATCCAGACTCTGTCCAGGTCTCCACTTACATTATTTTTCTGCAAGACGCGCAGTGCCTTGTTGACATTGTTCAGGGCATGAACTCTTGTGGATCCTTTTTCTTTTGGCTGAAAACAAAACGAAACAATGTTTACTGCCCAGCAGAGAGGGACAATCTACTAGAAATGAAACAATTTATACATTTTACTTCTAAGTTTGAGTATTTTAAATGAACACAGGCTGTGAGGCATTAATATAATACACTTAAGTGCTCTGGGTTGATTGTCCTTGTCATAGGACTTTCTTAGCATGAATCAACCTCTCCTCAAGAAAAAATGACAGCTTTTTTTTTTCTTCAAAAAAAATCTATTTTGGTTACCATCTCTTCATTCTGCAGCCCAGCTGGGGATTACAGCATGACCAGGAAGAGAAACAACATTGCAATAAAGGTTTATTAGTAAGGTAGATAAGTGACTTGATTTCCACACTTTTAAGGAACGTATAAAAGAGACTTGAGCCTATAAAGATTATATAATGCCAAATAGGATTAAGACAAACTATTTTTGTCAACATTACCTTAACTGTCTTCATCACTGAAGCTCAAAACCTCAATAATCCTTGGTTCTATAACCCTCACTCCCAATCCCCCAAATACCATCTGATTCTATAATTTCGAAACTGACATTTGCACAGTACATTACAGTATGTGGATTAACTCATTTATCCAGTTGTGGAGTTTTAGAAATTCTGCCATTATGATGCCTACCATATTTACTTCTAACATGAAATATACATCTTAAGAACTTTGTAAACACACAGTAAATCTACAGATGGTCCCCAACATGACAGTTCAATTCAGGATTTCATGACTTTATGATGGTGCAAAAGTGAGAGGCATTCAGCAAAAAATGTGCTTCATGTTTTGATTTTGGATCTTTTCCCAGGCTGGTGATAACCCAGTATGATACTCTGGTGACACTGGGCAGGGGCAGTGAACCACAGCTCCCAGTCAGCCATGCAATCAATCATAAGGGTAAACAACCAATGTTCGTACAACCACTCTGTTTTTCGCTTTCCATACAGCATTACATTCCATGAGACAGTCAACACTTTATTATAATATAGGCTTCGTGGTAAATGATTTTCCCCAACTGTATGCTAATGTAAGTGTTCTGAGCATGTTTAAGGTAGGCTAGGCTAAAGTATGAAGTTCAGTAGGATAGGTATATTCAATGTATTTTCAAATTGAATTTCCAGTTTAGGATGGATTAGTAGGGACATAACCCCATGGTAAGTCAAGGAAGATCGGTATTATTAACCATTGGCACAGTGTTGGATAGCAGTTCTCTGGAATTTACTCATCTTGCAACTCTTCATTTTCCATATCTCAAGTTAAATGTTCTTGTCACAATAAAAAAATGAACTGAAACTTAAAAGATCATTATGAATAAAAGCCTTATAAAAAGACATTCAATAACAAAGATACCCAATATTATGAGCAAGTAATATCTATTAACGTAAGTTACATTACTGAAAAATGTCACCTGCTAGTTCTATATAGGATAGAGTATGCCAAAATAAAAGTAATATCGAATATTGTTTTATTCAGGAATAGGTCCTCTACTACTAGTTAAATCGGTAATTATTAAATTAGTGCATTTTACTAGATCGAGTAAAACTACACTGAGTTCATTTCTTTTTTCTTAGTAAATTCCCCTAAGGTTAATGTGAACTTTCTTAGAAATAATTCACGTACCAGTTTTTGCCCTGTCAGGCCTTCCAGAAGATCTAGGAGGCGTCTCCCATCCTGTAGGTCACTGAAGAGGTTCTCTATGTGCTGCTTCCCAAACTGAAACATGAAACATACCCAATTAAACCAAGCACTCTTCCAGTGATCCATTTCCATGATTATGCCTTTTAAAATTGAAAGCTGTGGTTAAGAATATGCCATGTAACAGGGTACCAGGGTGGCTCAGTCGCTTGAGCATCTGACTTTGGCTCAAGTCATGATCTCGTGGTTCATGGGCTCGAGCCCCACATCAGGCTC